TGGTTCGCTGGAGTCCCAAAGCCTTAGAAATGGCTTTATAATCCTTTCCAGACTGATACATGTCAACTGTTTTGATTCTCATCTGTTCTTGAATTTCTTTAGATCGCAGCATAATGTGTTGCTATTTAAGCATGCTTCACTTTGTCAGACAAGTTCTATTTAAGTGATTTCTTGATTCAACAGGTCTGGCAGTAATCAGGCCTGGGTGTGGCTAGTGAAATTTAACTCAGCTTTCTAAAATAATGTGGTTAATTGCAGTTCTTTCATGATTTAACAGGAGGGGGCAATTCATTTTTCACGTAGGGCCACGTAGGTTTGGACAGCTTTTTTCCCTTGATAAATGAAATCATCATTTAAAAACTGCATTTTGTATTTACTTGCATGATCTTTGTGTAATATTTAAATTTGTTTGATGATCTGAAACATTAAAGTATGACAAACATGCAAAAAAATAAGAAATCAGGAAGGGGGCCAACACTTTTTCACACCACTGTATATTATGAAAATCAATGGGGTCCAAAACTTTCATACTCCAAAAAGGACATAAAGGATTGCGTGACTCAAACCTTGCCTAGCGGTCACACCTTATGACATTTGTTTACATGATGTGCAAAAATCAATGAGGTTTGATGTTCAACAAATATGTTTGTTTGTTTGATGCTAGCTTCTTTAGTTATTTTCATAGAGAAAACCATACTTGAGGTATTAAACATTAAAACAGAACTAAAGGTATTAAACTAAAAGGCCAATTTTCCCCAAAATTAACAATAAAATTGAATCTAAATTCAAATTCAAAAACTAAATTTGAATCAACTTGGTTTAAAACATTGGGTATCAACAGAGTAAAAAATGAGTGTCCTATCCTGCATCATGAGTACATGACTTGTTGCCAACGATTATTAAAAGAACGTGTACCCATATGTGATGAAGTCTGTGCATGAATGTGTATTTCACTCTGTTCATCATACAAAGTGGTTGTCGCTTCAAAAGTCAAACTGTACTGATTAATGTTTACAACATCTTAGCCATTTTATCGTTTAAAGATAAATTATATATCGTTCAAAAGCAGCTGAAACATTGTTCAGATTATCATACAGTTTGGAATGACATGAGGGTGAGTAAATGATGACGCTCTGCCAGTCTTATCAGGTTTAAGCTGGCCTCCCTAAGCAGGTCTTCAGATTGTTTTTTCCCAGCCTGGCCGCAGAACCCCTCTAAAACCAGCAAACACCACCTCAAAAGACTGCTTTCAGATGTTTTCAAACAGGGAAAGCACACAAGACTTTGTTTCTTAGTAAATAAAATACCCCATTGTGTGTTAGAATGGAAATATTCACCATCAAATCACATGCAGAAATGTATGGTACTTGATTTCAGAATACAAACAGCAAATCATAAAAGGATACTGAAGCACCATATAACACTTGCACATAAATATGTTTTTTGTTTGTGAGAGAAGAGCGCTGGTAAGGGCTCACTGCCCACGCAAACCATTAGAGAAGCTGTCACAAGAAACGAATGTAAAACAAGAGTAGCTGTAAGAATGACTAGCGCGGTGTCAGGAGACAGCATAGAAATGCAGGAAGGAAGGTTTAACCCTTCACCTGAATGGCAGTTTAATGCAAGTGCCCATATCAACACTTTTTCAATGACATTTACAGAAATGGCAGCGGTATCTTTATTTGTAACAGCTTTAAGTGGTTTGAGTCAGAAAAAGGAAATTACAGTATGAGCTCCGTTTCTATGAAACGCAGTGCAGGAGTAGACCAGCAGCTATGAACAGCATGTCTGTTCAGGATTACCTTGTGGTGCGCAAGTAGCAGACAGTTGGAGTGCTCGTGTTCGCAGGCAATTTCATAGTCTGGGAGCAGGTTGGCAAGCTGCTGCACGAAGTAGACGACCTCCTCGTGCCAGGGTACGTTGGCCATTGTCAGGCTACTGGCTGAGCTCTCGCCACAGTATGTCACTCCCTAGAGGACAGGCAAAGAGACAAGAGGGACAAAACTGTAAAATTGGATATTTAAATTGTCTAAGTCACAAACACAGCATGATAAAATCTCATCATAAAAGTATCAACATAAAACAGACAGTTCTTATTGGGTTTGTCTTATTGGATAAGTATGTAAGCCCGTCTCTGCCTCTGAATAAAAAATTTAATTGCGACTATCTCACAATTCTGACTTTTCTCGCAATTGCATGTTTACATCTCTCAATTTTTCTTTTTCTCCAAATTGCATGATACAAACCCACAATTCTGACTTTTTTGTCAGAATTGCATGATATAAACTCGCAGTTGAGAATGATAAAGTTAGTATTGTGTGATATAAACTCGCAATAAAAAAACTCGCAATTCTGACTTTTTTTCTCAGAATTGCACGTTTATATCTCGCAAGTCTGACTTTATAACACGCAAATGCAAGTTAAGTCGTAATTGTGAGATATAAACTCGCAATTCTGAGAACACAAGTCTTCTTCCCCCCTAGAATTGGACTTTACAATTCGCAAATGCGAGTTTATATCTCACAATTCTCACAAAACTTGCACTTGCGAGAAGAAAAAAATCAGAATTTTTCTCTCAATTGTGAGTTTATCCCGCTATTCTGACATTTTAACTCGTAATTGTGAGTTTATATCACTCAATTCTGAGAAAGACAGAATTGCAAGTTTCTATATTCTGACTTCATTTCTTAGAATTGTGAGTTTATATCTCTTGCAACTAATAACTTGCAACTTGCAACAATCTCACACGTCTGAGAAAAAAGTCAGAATTGCGAGATGTAAACTCGCAATTGCGATAAAAAACATCAGAATTGTGAGATAAAAACACACAATTACCTTTTTTATTTGTATTCGGTGGCAAAAACAGGCTTCCATAGATAGGCCACTTTCTTCTGTTGTAAAATATGAATACACATCCTGCCACCTCACAGTCCGTTAGTATCTTTAATTCAATTTAATTAAGGGATACACAATATATCGATATGATAATGGTTTCTGAATAATTAGAATTTTCTTTGTTTTGAATTTATTAAATATCATTTTTATTTCAATAAAGTATTTATTGAAATACATAGTAATTTAAAAAAAACTGTAATATCGGCTGATAACCGATATTGTCCACATATACATAGCTGCTTAATGATAAACATAATCCATGAAGACTGACTGTGTGATGCAGCTTAGTAGAATGCAGTTATATGCCCCTAAAATTCTAGAGGGCAAAAAATGCCAATCTAAGTGTTTGTGTCACAGCAGTGTTTCTTTACTGAATGAATTATGTTTTTAAAATAATAAAGTGAGCCAATGATCCAGTGAGCCACCTATGGCTCTAATGGAACTAATGTCCATTTAAAACCCAATTATCTCATAGCATACGCAATTCTAATTGCAGTGTAAATGCATTCATGTCACCTATGAACAGTCTGTGTGAATACACCCAATTGCCACTTTAGTTTCTAAAAATGTTATGGCCACATTGTAGTCTAAAAATGCAATAAATTCTATTTTGAATCAAAATACTTCTTTCTAAAGCTACTTTCTTGTAATTTCTAATCAAAACTTTTGTCATTTAACACAATAATGACTTTAAATTATCTTTTGGGTGGTCATTTTTGCTAGCCCAAATTGATGTGTGATTAATTTGCGATTACTGTAATAAGTAGTTTTAAGGATTACAATGTGTTCAGACAAAACAGTATAGAATTCAACCTTACCCATTTATCGGTTATTGGCCATAACATAACAATATTGGACCTTTTTTTATCATATAGGTGATGACAACATTTCATAAAAGCAATAAAATCACTGTAACACTCCCTCAGGTAGCTTTCATTTAAAATATTCACAATCACACTTTTCAGATACAGCTGATATTGCCCTGACTCTTTGAACATTTTAGATTTAACTGTGCCTCACTGTACAAAAAGGGACACAAAAACACTCTGAATCATATCGGCAAACACAGCCCAAAGACACGCCGGTGCGTGGAGGCTGATTTGGTTTTTCTATGGATGATGGAAACTGAGACAGCCAGATCATCTCATTGAACTCCTACACACACGACAGGACAGCGTTCACATCACACCTCATAGATGCTGCTGTGACCAGGACGAATGCGGCTATGAGGGCTGCATCCACCACATGCTGGAAATGCAAATTCTGTTTACAATTTATACAATTTCTGTCATCATGAACTCTGATGTCTGATTGGATACTGAAACAAACTGGTGTCAAGTCAGGTCACGTTCTCCGTTTGAACCTTCACACATCATGAAAAGTAGTCATTAATAATCCTTGGCAACAGAGTAAGTGACACATCACCGCTGGATGAAAACCGGCCTCATTTGTGGTGTGGCCAGCATTAGTTCATGAGTCTGCTTGTGTGTAGGAGTAGCTGTGCTGTTGAAAAGACATTACTCATCCTGTGACAGAGTGAAAACCCATTCGGTGAGGCTTTATCTTATTTCAGTCTTCATCACGCTGAGCTGTTAGCACTCTATCACGCCGGACAATCGATAGATGAACATCTTCATGCCGTTGAGAGAATTTAAAAAAGAGCCGTCATGTGAAAGAGATATCAGATAAATCATAACTGTAAACAACGCATCAGTGGTTTCAATGGTTCAGAAACAAACACACGACAAGGGCAAATTAATGATTTAATTAAAAGCAAATTCATTCTAAATAATGTGAATACTGAGTGCAATAATTCATTAAATAATCACAAGAGGCACCATAAGGGAATGATTAATACAGAATTTCCTACAGCTCTCTTTTACCTGAAGCTAATGGCTTACACTTATGAATAAATAAGTATAATTGAAGATATTCATAATTAGACATTTTTTAAAAGTTTCTTAACTGATACAGATGATTTGTGCAATTGTCTGATAATTAATATCCAAAACTGAATTTTAATTAGTTTAATTTCTGTATTTTGACAATAACGTAATGATCATTATACTTAATAATAATCATCATCATCATCATAATAATGGTAATAATAACTAATATAATTGTTACTATTTTATTTCTTAATATTATTTTACATTTTTTTCTTATTAGTATTGCTATTATTATTATATATTTTTTATAGTATTAATTTGTAGTAAT